TTGTATAGTCTATGCCGTGTGCACAGTAAAAATTGTAAAACCATAGAGTAATAGTATAGTAAATTAAGTCTATGGTTTTGGATGAGAAAGTTTATCACGTCACGGTTCATATTATTTTACTTTAATAATAGATGAAAAAGTATAAATCGGGAAATTATGACCCACAACAAAGACTTTAAGTCTTTGTTGTGGGTCATAATTTTCCGATTCCCGAACCTCCTAACATTTCGCTAGCAACTTGGTTTTAATGTAAATTTCTACACATTTATTTATATTAACTCAGAAAAAGTTAAGCCTATCAGCACAAAGTTACAAATCTATGTGCTTTATTGAGTTCGTCAATTATGTACACATACTGCATAACAGCTTACAAGCAACCTCTATTACAATATTAAGTCTGGTTTTGGATGAGAAAGTTTATCACGTCACGGTTCATATTATTTTACTTTATTAATAGATGAAAAAGTATAAATCGGGAAATTATGACCCACAACAAAGACTTAAAAACAATATGTGTAAAACACCACTTTTGAATTTAAATCTCACCTCTAATTTTAATATCAAAATTGGTAATGTTCTTCTTTTTTTATGTAATCTTAATTTTTTTTTACTTGCAATAAACTAGTGCTTGACTGCGATCCCACCTGATGGTAAGCAGTGATGCAACGGTTGATGGTAAGGCGCACTAGTTTATTAAGAGCCTATTCACTCTAGCCTTGAAGACACCTAAATTGTATTCGGACGGAAAGACTGCAGCCGGCAAACTGTTATAATCCCTCGATGTACGCGGTATAAATGACAAGGCAAAACGCTTAGTCCGGGCCGCAGGTGTCTCAACAACGTAGGGGTGGATATTCGCCGTACGCCGGGATGTCCAAAGGTGAAGTTGGGATGGCGGAATCAAATCGTGCAATTCCTGGGAACACTCTCCAAAATGCATCCTGTAGAAAACCGCAAGGCTGGCTGCTCTGCGCCTGTGCTCGAGACTTTGAAGATTGGACCCAACCAAATCTGGATCACCAATCAGCCTCTTTGCAGGCCTTTCCACTGAATCCAAAGCCACTAGGTGGCATTTTGCAGCACCAGCCCATATGTGGCTGCAGTACTCCACACACGATCGGACCTGAGCTTTATACAACGTTAGAAGCTGACTCGGTGTGAAGTACCGTCGGACTTTTGCAAGAACGCCGAGTTTTCTAGCAGCTACCTTGGCTCTGGACTGAATGAACCAATGAAAAGTTGAGGTCTGAAGCAATGTCCATTCCCAAAAGCTGAAGGCGGTCGGTGCACTCCAGGGATACATCCCGAAAAGCAGGAGCCAAAGTGAACGAGCTCCTTTTGGCGGTGAATAGGTGTCTATTCACCGCCAAAAGGAGCCCGTTCCCGCCTGTGTTTTGGTGGCGTTGAATGTTACCAGATTAGTTTTGCCCCACTTAGAAACTACCTGAAGTGAGACAATCGTACGCTCTACCATAGCCTCCCTTTCAGACTGGAATGAAAATAATTGGAATGAAAATTGTGTATCTCGTTTGAATACTAGATAAACTCTAGTAGAAAACAGCAGCTAACTTAAGAAAAAAATGTTGGGCCACACTAGGTTGTTCTTTTGTGTCGTGGGTGCGTTTACAAACAAGTAATTTCACATACACATCAAACTAAACAACAAATTATTCTAAAAAAGTTGTTCTGTGCCGGAATTGAACTCGGGGCGTGTTTTGCGTCAACTAGTTTGCTAGCTATGGCGTCTACCGTGCAACAGTATTTGAAAACATTATTAGGAATATGAATATGTTTCTTCCTCCTCAAAATCTTATCATTTCTTTTATTTTTGATAGTTCATATTTTTTATAAATATACCCTAGGCGATAATTTTTATTTTAAGTTTTATTGAAAATTAGTTAATGATTTTATGAAGTGAGGATAGCGATTAATGAGTTAGTGGAAACTAAACGTCTGCCTCTTTGCAATGTCATTGTCTCTGTCAAATGCCAGATAGCCAGGACAGGTGACGTTTGACGTAAATAAATAAGAGGGAGCTATCGTGGGTTGGGGAATCAGGGTGTTTTTGGGTGGAAAAAGGGGAGGAAAGTGCGTGGGCACTGTGATAATACTGAGGGAGTGAGGGGGTGATGTCGCATTTAGCCGCCTCCACCGCCAACGTCGACCGTGGTGCGATTGCGCATTGCAACATTGACTTGTTACGCAGCTCGGGCTGTACCTGTTTTACATAAGTTAGCAAGAGACGGAGAATACTGTGCTCATCGAGCGACTTATATACAGAGTAGGTACGTATCATGTTGTCGATATTTTGTGGGATAGGCGAAGGATCGTCGGGATACACCTGTGTGTTTATCTGTTTGAGTGAATTTTATTTGGAAGTTTCCGTGCCTACCTTGCCCGTCACATGAATCAGCTCGTGCTTGAACGTTGTTATTCTTTTTGACATGACTTTAGAAGATCCATTTTACGTCGTTAAAGAGTAAGTGGCTAAAACGTGTTTTCATAGCTTGGCGAATGCAGTACTTCTCGTTACTACTCTTGAATTTATAATTGCACTTGTAGAAATTGCATACATTTTGCTCAGATTTAAGGTGGTACTCCAAGCTGAACTTCAGTTAAAATCTATGATAAAAAGAAATGCATGTTGAATGAATTCAAATTATATGTTTTTATAACAATACAGTCTACTTACAAAAGGTTGGTTTGTTCAGTACCTTATGAACAAATATTTTTATTTCTGTTCATGCCAAATATTGAATTAATATTTATTATACATTTTTGGACGGAATTTATTATGTCTGCCCTGTATACTGCATGTGGTTTTATTTTAAAATAGTAATGCTTTGAAATTTACTTAAATAAATACATTTTATTTGTTAAGAACCATATAGAAATGTAGGCTGTGCATTGTAATATATATATAAGGTTTTTATTTAGTGATATTGTTTTTAAATAACAGTATAATTCTAGTTTATTGTAATTGAAAATGCTAATCAACAATTTATCTGAGATATAATTAATAAGATAGGTATTAGTTTAAGATTTTAAGATTTTAAGAAGAATTTCACACCTCACTTCTCACCTTACAGAAAGTAGAGCAATCAATACAGGTGACTTGAATGCATTAAATATTCATTATACCACATGGAAGCTCACAAGGGGCAGATAATGTCTCACTTTGCTGCTTCCAAGTAAAAATGTTAATATGAATATTACAGTATCAATCACACAGGTGTTTAGGTTCTCAGAACAACTTGTTCTTACCTGTTGTTTATGTGAACATTTTTGTTTTGTTATTTCCCATTTGAATGAACAATTCAATTGTGTAATATCTAGGTGTGTATGAATTTGAGGGTCATTGATGTTTAAAACTCTAAGTAGGTAGCAATTTAATTAATTTGCCTGACTATTGCCCAGCTCACTTAAATCTGAAACAAGTTTAATATATCTTTATTGGGTGACTTAGTATGTTAGAGTCTACAGCAAAAACCACAGCGGGAGACAAAAATAACATACACAATACAAGGAATTTCATATTTCACACCGGAGGCTATAACTGCCTGAGCTTTGCATAGTTTATAGCATACTACCAGGAATAGTCTAGCTTCCTAACAGTGAAAGAACTTTGCAAATAATTCAACCTCAATCAAGTAAATTTTTGAATCATTTATACATATACAACCTTTTCAATTTAAAAAAAGAAGCAGTCCAATCTATCCTCATTATTTTATTAGTAAAATATTTATAACAATTACCAAAAGGGTTTGTAATAGTTCAAAGCCCCAAACCATGGTGCAAAGTGAGAGAACGCTTGGAGTGGCTGCTCAACTTTATTCCCCCTAGTCCTTTATATTTTCGTACCGCCAGACAATCGGCAAATGTCACTACTTCATTTTGACAACCCTGGGTAGGTGGCCATGGCCCAAATTAGTCTATAAGACTAGGTTTCAAACTACCAATCGACCTTGAGCAAGCCTGGTGATTAGTACTCAATCCTTCTTCATGTGAGAAGAGGCCTTTGGTCAGCATTGTGCACTTATAGGCTGATGATAGTGATGATGTGTGATGTGATGTTCCAGTCCACTTGCTTTGTATATTTTTTTTATTTTGACTTTTGAACACAGTTCACGAATCATGAAAAGAAGGTGGCTCATTGGCTAGCAGTGTATAGTCACAGGCAAAATATTATGTGTACTTTCTATAAATATGAATGTAGTTTTGCATGGTATGAATAATCTTTAAAAAGTCTGAGTATTAATGTGTCACCACACCTCTAAAACCAAGTCACTATTTCTGGGTAATGAATTGTAATGGTTAAGCTAATTATTTTATTCCATGTTCCTTAATATCAATCACACATTTTTATTTCTGTACTTTAAACATGTCATACGATATATAGGTACTAAGTAGGTACTTTTATATATTGGTGGTATTTGTGTACTAGGCATGATTTGATTTGTCACAAATATGTATTTCAATAATATATGTGCGTTGAGTATGTCTGTTGTGATACTGTATGTTGAGGTTCAAAAAGTAAAAGAGCAGTTTCAATTGGGTAGTTTCCTAGGTCAAAAATAAATTAATCCGATGTTTCAATACAATAAAATATTGAAAAATAACTATACTTTTATTCATCGATCGATCGAGATACCAAGTTTTAGATTTTTTTTAGCTAATTATTGTGAAATAAGTATGCTATTTGACGCAAAAATGTTATGACGTCATAGCTCAGTTTTTCATAGAAATTCCATAGAAAAGTATCGTTGTTGACGTTTGGATAAAAGTATTGAATTTGACTAGTTGGAAACTACCGTATTCCATGAAGAGTGTTGTTTACTTTTCCTTTTTTTCAGTGAGGTGTTCAAAGCATTGAACAAGACACGTGGCCTATACCTCAGGTGGCAGGAGATTTCAAAGGCACCTACTATACCTAATAGTCCCGAAGTGGAATGGACTTCAACGGAGTTGAGAAACGCTCTCCGTAGTATTGAATGGGACTTGGAAGATTTAGAAGATACTATCAATATCCTTTTTAATATTCATTTTTTATAATAGTTACTAGATACACATTTTTATTGTACACATTTTCATTGAACATCTTAGCGATCTCATTTGTTCATAGTTGTTTGCAAAAATTGACTTTAACATCTTAGTACAAAATAATTTCCTGAACAAAGTGTCCACGTATCGTAGAAAAAAATTCATCAAAATTTAAAATCGACAATAAAGAAATTTCGGAAAGACGAAGTTTTATAGAAGCTACGAAGCAAGAAGTAAAGGTAAATCTTATTAAAACAACAATAAATTTCAGTTTAGATAATTGCTCAGCAGTCAGGATTATAGTTATAAGTGGAAGTTTAATTTCACAGCTTTATTAACTTATTTTCTTTGGGCAATACTTATCAAACATGTTTGTGTTCACCGAAATACCTATCTAAATCGATACATTTAATAGCTGTAAGTTAAATACCGTGTTTTACTTAAACTGGACTGCGAATTCATTCAGTATCTAATCGCTCGGACAATTGTAACGACAACCGTGTATTTGGTTCTAACAATGTTCTTATTTAAGGTGATGAAGAGTAAAATGAGCCTGAACAGAAACCGAGACAACGATGGCACGGCACGAGAGCCACTGCTGGGCGACGAAAGTCCAGTGCACAACATGAGTAATGTGTGGACAGCTACGCCAAAATATACGAAGTACTCAAAACTTGCCAACCAAACTGACAGTCCTAATAGGTTTGACTATGACAGTGATATCATGTCCATGCAAGAGAAGATGTTGACGAGCCAAAATGACCAGCTGCAAGTGATCAGCCACTCTGTGGGATCATTGAAGACTGTTTCCAAACAAATTGGGATCGAGCTTGACGAGCAAGCAGTGTAAGTGTCTTTCACATTTCTTGCTGGAAATATATTTGTGGATTATATTTATTTATACTTAAAACACATTTGTTTTTTTACAGGATGTTAGACGATTTGAATACAGAACTTGAAAATGCCGATTCTAAACTAGATTCAACGTTAAAGAAAGTAGCTAAGGTGCTCCATATGAATAACGGTGAGTTTTGACAAAACATGTTTTGTGTCACTAGATACCTGAATCTGGAGTATAGTACCATGGTGTAATACGACTCTGCTACATCGTTTGTGGCTTGTGGTAACATATATGCATAGCTCTCCCTAGTATTATGTTCAAGGAACGATAAGTACTTAGATACTTAATGTTGTTTGTGTTTTATTTCAGATCGACGCCAGTGGCTGGCAATATTGATCCTGGTAGGCCTTCTAATGATAATATTAATATTATTTGTTATAATTTGAAGCAGGTTACAAATACTTTTTGTTTCATTAAATGTTAAATCATGTTCGTAGCTAAGTGATATATTCTTATATGATAACGTCATAGTATCTATTATCTGTCTGTACTATCACATTGTAGATATTATCAATTAGAATTGTAACTGAATTGTTTGAAGTCATATTTATATTTTGTTAGCTAGATAGTTAAATGTTTGAATGTGTTGCTTTAACACCGTCTTCCGTTCAATTTGGGTGTTATAAAATATGTTTAAAAGACACTGTTCTACTTGAAGAGTTAAATAGACAATTATATATAGGTTAACTAAAAATACAATATAACACCATATAGTAGGTATTTTATATACTAATACTACTTTTAAGATAATACGATGTTCTCCCGTTCACAGATAGAAAAAGGTTTTTGTAATATTTAGACTTTTTAACGTATTAGGCATAATGTTTTTAGGAGATCTCATGTTTGCTCCTTTTAAATGTCGCGTGAATATTTTTCTCGTTGTATAAGGTGACAGCAGCAACATTGCTTAGCGTAAGAAATAATCTGTTAGACAACGTCTAAAAGTCGATATAAATAATTCCCTGGCATTGGTGAGCATAAAGTTAGACGTTACTGAAAACTGTGACTAGTGTGATATGGCTTACTAAATTTATATTTTTAATTCATGTACAGTAAAGTGCATTCGTGAGAAGCCTTGTTGATGTTTCCCTCGCTATTATAGACGCTAGTGTCGTCCACGGCTGGACAAGTTTCCCCTCACTAGTTCTTTGTCACATAGAACCGTTATTGATCAAACGACCAGTAGCAGATCGTTTTTCCAACTTCTTACTAAATTAGACTACGGCTAAGTTTAGTAGCGTAGTGAGTCTTCATTAAGCTAAGTTTAGTATAGGCATAATCAGGTCTAAAATTCTCACGCTAATTGGGACAATAAGGGTTATTTACGAACTGATGCAAACCCTATATTTATTAATCCGATAGAATTCCAAAGATTAGCTTAGGTACTACGATAACTACTACCTCTAAGTGTTTAATGGGCAAGGGAAACTAAATTTGCTACATAAAGGTTGAGAATTTATTTTGACGCGCAAGCTTTGTCCGTACTTCACCAAAACGGAGATGTAAAGTTGCATGTGCTTTTTATTATTTATGGTTGCACCATGATGCACGATGCACGAGCTGGGTGAACCCGGTAAGATACACTTACGCTGTCGTTGCGCCTCTTTAGCTCCGTGGTTTCCACTTAAGCTGAGTGGAGAGGTGTTGTGTGCTTAAGCAATATTGTTGGTTGTTTTAAAACAGCTCACCCGTTTTGATGGAGTCTGCCTTAGCACGAAAGTGAATGTCATGCCTCGAATGCATGCCTTATGGATCTAATTAGGTTTTGTGCCAGTGTTCGCCTTGAGAATTGTTGTAAGCCTCTCAGTGTCGGTCGCATGGATCGCATGCTTCAGCCTGGGGCAACGCTATCACAGCACATGCCTCGCAGTCTCACTACCTAGGTAATGTAAGATAGATGCAATTTGTATAGGTTAATGTTTGTCTTTACTACGTAAAACATTTCTGATACAATTCTAATATTGAAACCGAGTGATTCCAAGTATGAACTTTTAATGACACAAAGAATAGGAAGAAAACATTTATAGATTATATTTTAATACATTGAATAGTGTTTAGGATGGATTCAGCTATTAACTGGTTATGTATTGTTTATTTTAGCTGAGCGCGTATAGTATATATTTTATTATACAGTAAAGAGCAATAACCAAAATAAATATATATGTGTATAGAATTATAGACAGCGCCATATTTTAATGTAGATTGGTAAGAACAGTGAAATAATAGTTATGCAATAATAATATAACAATTACATATGTCACATGTATTTTATCAAACCAGCAAGAATGTGTAATGAGATTCGCAGAATACAAGATTACCTACTAATTGATTTGTAAGTACAATACACGGCAATAATATACCTAATGATTAAGATTCGAAATAACTTTCACACTGCCTTCTTGTAATGTTGTGAAAAGTGGTATATGCATATAGAGATGGGAACATGTGTATGGTTTGATAAATGCCTAAATAGTTATATACTTATTATATTTATACATGGCTACTACATAAAGCAATAGATTACATTTATTATAAATGAATAGAGTCGTGTCTAATTTTATTAAAATAATTATTCACTTGTTTATACCTATAATATGTAAGTAAATAATTATTCTTGTTTTCATACATTCCTTTGTGTAATTAGTGTATTGGTGCAATAAGGTTTCTATTAAGTACAGCGCGTTAGGGAAGTCTGTGAATATGTAAGATAGATATTGAGTTCATTAAAGTGTGTACTACCGTCTCAGCGTGTGTACTAAATGAGTGACGATTGACCCCCGCTGTATGTTCATAGACATCTGTAATACCTATATTGTGTTGTAATAATAATAATGATTATTTATTGTTGATATTATTGCTTCCTATGTACCGTCTAGTTTAATTCTAATTATTTATGTTTATTATAATTATATAAATGAATATTTGTATCCCGTTGGTTTTATTTATGGTATCTACATATACTCACAATGGAACTTATAGATGTCCACTTTTATTATTTTTTTAAGTACACACCTTATGAGTAAATACGGGAACCTTTTTTACTAAGATTCCGCTGTTCGTCCGTCTGTCTGTATCTCATGGATCACGGCAGCTGGATAATTGAAATTTGGCCATAAATATTTTTAAAGGTCTAGAAGCCTTCGTGTGCGTATCAACTCATTTAATAAAACTTCTCTGGTATTAAAAGGCCTAATTTCATGTTGATTGTTCTAATGAATGATGGTGTAATATTACTGTAGCTAATGAGCTACAGTAATATTACACCATCATTATAATATGCTCAACTGGGTTGTGATCAACATTTGAAATGAAATTCTTTAAAATTATTAAACTTTAAAAATATGTATTTTAAAAGGCGAGACAAATACGTACCAATATTTTTTATGCATGGGTGTTTAGTCTTAGTAAGTACTCCTTCACTTTATCAACTACTGAATTGATCTTTATGAATTTTATTTCTCAGATAGAATATAGTCTGGAACAGCATAAATAAAACTAGATAAAACTAGCGTTTCTTGGCAGCATTCGTTTTTTAGGTAAATTGTATTAAGTCACCAAACGCCGGCGTTCACTTCTTCGTTCACCAATTGTTTGAAACGATACGAATACGATTGAAAGGTTAATTCGTGATGGAACCTTCCATTGTCAGTAACAATTCCATGGTCTTAGTAATTCCCTGTCTGATCCTATGGAAAAATCGACACCGATTAGTTGGTAAACTTTATTCTTTCAGAAATAAATTTATTGATGGTCTCAAGCCCCATATCCCACCAAGTAGAATTTCAGAAAACGCGGTTATGTTGTAAATTAGTTACATATCATATTCTTCAAGGAGTGGTGCTAAAGTTAAGGGAAATATGTTTCCATACTTATACAAATTAAGGCAATTTTTTATTGAATCTCTATACAGCGCCATCTATGAATACAGAACTCAACTAGGTAACCGAAATATGGTTTGTGAGGCTACCCAGCCACTGAGTATTTACCAGTATGTTGTAGTGTTTAAGTTTCTCTGCTGACAGATGGTGCTGCCAGCAGCTTGTCTGTCCATATGACGGTCAGTGAAAGTGTAGTTATCTAACCACACTATTAAAATAAATAAAGAAATCCCACAAAGCATATCACAAAGAAGTTACTAACCCTATAAGCTCTGAATCTAAACTCCAAAATTTTCACTTATATTGCGGCGGTATACTCAGTCGTTCGTATCGCGTAGTTCGTAGTTCATAACGCGTACTTCGTAGTTCGTAGCGAGTAGTTCGTAATGCGTAGTTCAAACCGCGTAGGTATTGACGAGTAGCGCGTAGTTGGTAAAGCGTAGCGCGTAGCAATGGTTGTCAGTCTTGTAAGAGTCCAAACTGTGTATACCGTTACCGAGTCAGACGAAAACAGGCTAAACTCTTCGCTTTAGTCAAAATGCGTAGACTGGGGGACTCTTTTACTTTAGGCTTTTCCTTCTCTCTCAGATAATAGGTTCTTAATAAAAAAAAGGGTTACGTTGAACAGCTGAGCATTACCTAGAGTCCTAGAGCTTATAGTATTGTCTCTTATTTTTAGATCTACATTGATTCCAGTGTATCTACTACTTTTTTTATATTTCAACGAAGCTATTTGTTGTAGATACATTATTTAATAGGTACTCGTGCTACGAATGAAACGAGTAAAATATTGTAATAAACACCGTAAATAATACGTAAAAACACAATAATAGGTTTTAATACGATGTAATTATATTATAGGTTTATTTTTTGAACATGATGTAGGTATGATTTTATTTAATTACAAACTTGTGTAGTTATACGCATCCGTTAGGTACTTAATATATCTATGAATATTGTGCTACTTAGAGGTCGGATGCAGATTCGCTGGAACTTGTGAGCTTGTCGTAAATCTCGGGGACGTAATCGTATGTGCCCTCTTTGAAGTCCTCGTACAGTTGCTTTTTCATCATGACCCAGTTCGGCTTTTCTTCTGGCTCAAATAGACTTGAAAGGAAATTAATTAACATGAAATTAAAACATTAACATATTTTTTAATGAGTATAACTTGCATCTATTCTATAGTTAAAGTGTTGATAACTCATTCCAGTCCTATCAGCTTGCTTGAATAGTTATTATTTTTGCTTCTAGATACTTTTACTTTTACCCATTTTTGAGAACTTAATAAAACTTTATCGATAAACAATAGATTTTTTTATATAATAGGCCGTCAAACGAGCATACGGATTACCGTATACGTACCGGTAAGCAATCAGCGCCGCCCATGGGCACCGACAACGGAGGAGTTACGAGTACGTTGCCGACCTTTTAGGGATTAGGGAGTTGGAGATTTATTGGGCCTCCGGTAACCTCACTCACACGGCAAAACACGGTTATTTCACGCCGGTTTTCTGTGAGGCCGTGGTATCACTCCAGTCGAGCCGACCCATTCGTGCCGAAGCATGGCTCTCCCATACTTAAACAACACTTAAATCAGATTGTCAGTATATGACTGACGGAATTGATTCCTGATTATAATTGTTACTTTGCCTAATCATTATGGATATTAATTTTGCCACTAAGTGTACCTACTTTTAAGGATGAAGAAGATTATCCGGTTCTGTTCTTAAATGATAAAACAAACGTTTCTAATTTAAATGTAATCAAATTACTTAAATCTTATTTTCTTTACAAATGATTAAGCATAAATCGTATTAAGTAACTAGATCCTGAAAATTAATGTAGAACTTTTACCTCTGACGTATCGTGTGAACTTTAACTAGGTTTTCATGTTTTTACGCTTTATACACAAATGTGTAACATGCAATAAAGGTTTTTTTATATGATAGGTCGGTAAACGAGCAGACGTATTACCTGATGGTAGGTACCGAAGCAATCAGCGCCGCCCATGGACACCCGCAACAATGAAAGTTACGAGTGCGTTACCAACCTTTTGGGGATAAGGGATTGGGCCTGCGGTAACCTCACTCACACGGCGAAACAAAACGTTATGGTTGTTTCACGCCGGTTTTTTGTAGGGGGTGGTATCACTTCGGTCGAGCCGACCCATGCGTGCCGTAGCGCTCTCGCACACTTAAATTGTAATGTGTGGGTAAGTCTTTCGTATATTTATACAGCCTGTCGATACTGGTCAGGCTTAGCTCGCCACACCACTATTTCTGTAGGTACATGTAGAACGGACAGTACCTACCTACAATTTTATTCATTCCCCTCACAGATTGAAAAACGTGACTCAGATGAATAAAATATTTCGTTATTCGTTTCTGGTTTCACCTGTGCTAATAAAAGCTTCAAATTGGCATTCGTTAGTATTGCTATTATTATTTCAACAGGAATTGTGATTTAGTATATTCAATACCAGCACGTTCATACTTCGTAACAATTATAACTTCAATAATTTTATGTTGTGAATTTTGATTAAGTAACTTGTAGGTAGAATATCTTCATCATTTATTTTTGGAAGACTTTATTTCTTCGGCTATCCTATGCTAATACAGTACAATACAATATTGAGAAATGATCAACTTTATTTATTTGATTTTTCAATTAAGTATTCTGATTCCATTTCACTTTTAGAAAGTACCCAATAAGGCAGGTGTGACAGCCCTAACAATCGACATCATCATTATACGGTAGCTTCCCCGAGAGACAGTCAACATTTTTAAAACCCTTGTAATATCAGTACTTAGTCGACAATATTTTATTATCTGTGTACCTACTATAGGATGATATAAGTAGATATATAAATATGTATGTATCCTTCATTATCGCATGGACTAAGTACATGACCTAGGAATGATGTAATAAAATCAACTTTGATAAACATCACCTTTGATGTTTGACCAACTATAGATGAATAACTCCTGTACTAAAATATGGTAGATTTTTAGAATTACGACTTACGTGCTAACACATTCCATAAATTCCCTGAGGTAATTACTCGATAGGATGTGGATGATATTACTAAATCCTGTACAGTTGGTCCACTGAGCGTCTGGAGCCATCATCATTCCGACCGCTCTTCCACGGCAAATGAGTGGTGACCCGTACATACCCTGAACATAAGGAAACATTATTATCTTTCTCTTCTCTTAAAAAAAAACATTGCCCCACGCTAAGATTTTCTCCTGTGTCGTGGGTGCGTTTACAAATATATAATTTTATATATTAATTATACCCAGACCTGCGGGCCTGCGGGCATCGAGCCCGCGACGCTTTGCGCGGCAACCAATTGCCCAGCCAGCCAGCCACCGCACCAACCGTCAGTCAAATTATAATATTCTATCTTGCTAAGTGACAATTAGGTCGATCTCTTATCTATTTCTGATATTGGTAGCTATTTTTAGGATCAGAGGACCAGTTTACTTAATATGTTAAAGTTATCATGCTATTGATAACAATACTTTATATTATTAACAACTCCTGCTTGCGGCTTCGCCTGGTGGTGAGTGTCCTGTCTAACTTTTTTTTTAGACATCCGACTATGGCGAAGTCTACAGAAGGACGAAAAAATTAATATTAGAATCTTAATCCGTCGCCTGTATTTATTTAATACTAGATTGATAATCTCAATTTCCATACGTAGGTAAACTTGTAGTAAATATAGTATGTGTTACGTTATATACCTATATGTCTGTACATAACTTATAATATTTATAAACAAATGTCACTCACATGACATGGCTGCGCTATTCGGTCAGGCTGAAAGATAAAATGCGAGTACATTTTTAAAATAGATTCACGAGTACGTTCACTCGGAGGTGTAGGTACTTAATAGGTACTTATATTTAAATAAAAATTAAAAACAATATTTAAGTAAAATTATAAACAATCACTCATTTCTCACACTGTGATATATTTTTATTATTATTGGGTATTTATTTATACTAAATACTAGCTCCTGCCAGCGACTTCGTTCGCGTAGAATAGTGACTTCTGGCAGATTTTTGGTTTTACCGACATACATACATAGTTTCCGATCTCGTAGGATTTTCGGAAAGTTTTCATTTTGAATTCCCGGGATAAAACTATCCTATTACCTTTTCCGAGTTTCAAACTATGTCTGTACTAAATTTTATTCAAATCGGCAAAATTCAGTAGTTTAGATGTGAAAGAGAGATAGAGAGACAGACAGAGTTGATTCAAAATAAAAAAAAACACAGAATTTTGAGGAAAACTCAGCAACACATTGAAACTACTGAAAAACTGATTAATTAATGATTAATCTTGATGCATTGCGTCAAAATTATTTGTCAAGTAACTATTTTACTTATCAATTTTGCGATCGGCAAAACAAATTGTTCCCTATTTAGATTAGTCTAACTAACTAGACTTAAAGTCAACATACAATTAATGTTGTATTATTTATTAAAAGTGTTTATGTTACATAATATTTTCATGTTACAAGCATCAAGAAAATTGAATACTGTTAAATTTTATGTATTTTAACATTTTGTCTTTTTCGTGTTGTTTTTTCGTTTCATTTGTTAGTAAATCGCAGCTACAAAATGTGAGTTCTATCTTATAGTAAACAAAAAATAGTTTCTTACATCTCTTACGCAGATACAGGCGGCTTTGTCGAATAAACCCAAGAATCCCAAGTTACTCAGAGCTTTCTGGAATTTTATGCTCAATGCTTCACACCACAAGGCCTTCTTTACTAAGTTTACGTATTGAACCCGCACGTTTCTTTGCAGCAGAAATTTATGGACAGGATAAATTTTATCCTAAAATGGGAAATATCTGTTAGCGGTCTGCAAAAAATTTGTAGTCGCTATATTATGATATGATTTTAAAATCATAGAACCCAAAGAATAGACTGAAAAATAAAAAAGGTTTTATAACATTGTGACATTTTAAGCGACTTTATTTTCATTCAGAATGCATAAAGTTATACGCAGGAAGTTAGAACGTTTGCAGCAAAAAGTTAAAGCTGCTTTTATATTGTGCGCGGCTCGACGTGGCGGGCACAAAGGAGAAACTTGACATGATTCGAACTTCCGACTCAACACGTTCGTAACTTTTGTTAAAAGCTTTAAACACATTTTAAAACCGTTAGCACTGACATGGGATCTCCCAAATAATGAGGGCTCAGAATATGCTTTGTCCTTCTCTTTGCTGAGAAAATAAAAAGAAACGACACATGTGCGCAGCAAATGTTAAATTGAAACATGTGCATCCAGTTGGTATGGGGAAGTTGGTTGTTAAAATGTTTGATATAAGCTTAACTATAGTTTTTCTTTTGTTAACGGTACTTGTGCGTCACGGTTTTACAGATAGATGTATTATGAATAATTTTATTTTTTTTCAAAGGGATTCGACTTCAATCTCATCGTATGAAGATTATTTTGTACCAAGTTTCCAACTATGAACGAGATATAATATTATAGTACAAACAAAAATAGTTATCATACAATACCCCCTTATAGAAGAAATGCCAACCGGGCATGAGGCATTCTTCCTGCAGACTCAACACCTCTTCGCCCTTAAAATCTATGTCAAGGGGTCTCAATGGTATTTCCGTTAGGATGTCAGGAACTTTTCGCTTAAGAAGCAGCAATGCTACCGATTTTGACATCAAATAACCTCTGTTACCTGAAGCGATCCTTGCAACTGTGAACAAATTGACCATATAAAAAAATATTAGAACTCATTGTAAAATAATTATGTGTAATGGAAACTTTTTAGATTTTTAAGTATGTCGTATGTAAAACAAATACATATGTTGGTCATAGGTATAGTAATAAACCAATGTTATCTGCATTTTTAATGTGCATCATGTCGGTTAAGGCGCCCGCTTCTCATGCATAAGGGCGCGGTTTCGAAACCTGGCAAGTACCAATGTAACTTTTTCCAAGTTATATTCTATGATTATTTAGACACCACTAACGAAGAAAAACATCGTGAGGAAATCTAGACTTATAATTTGTAATTATAAGTTTGAAATCACCAATCCGCCTTGAGCAAGCGTGGTGATTAATTCTCAAACTTACACCATGTGAGAAGAGGTTTTGCTCAGCAGTGAGCACTTACAGGCTAATTATGTGATCTGCATTTTAAAATTATTAAGTATACATTTAAGCCAGCCGGTCAAGGACCTACTACAAGGAAAATAGCAAGAGTAGCGAGCTCTCAGTTAGGGAAGTCCGTTCCACTGACTACTTAAATAGATAATGAGCGGTCAACTGTAGGTACATTGCCTGGTATCTAACCACGAACCACTAATTAGGACTTTATTTAGTTCTAGATAGATAATAATATAAAAAAATAATGTGTCTATTGACTAAATTTTTTGTACAATTAAGTTGCTAGGGGTAGATACTTCTACTTTTCCTCGTTATACAAATGTAATATTGTAGTATTGTACCACAATATTCAGAAAACGACAAATCACTTTTTAGTTGTTTGGGTGTGTGCTATACATGATTAAATATAGTGTATAGGAGCTGCAGACAAAATTGTTCAATATTTGGTCGAATAGTGCATATTGGAAGACCCTGTAGTCTAGTCTATCGGAGAGAAAGCACGTTTCGCTTAAAAGATTCCGCAGACCATAATCTGTTTCAATGCAAAACATTGATCCAACGCTTTGTGGTGTAGGTAAAGGGCACAGAACAAACTTTTGCATTTATAATAGGATCGCCTTCCGGATTTACCCTCGCTTTTCCTCTAAAACACGGAGAATCTGTAATATCTATACTAATATTATAAAGAGGTAAAATTGCCAAAATTCTTTCACTGATAGATAGCTACAATGTTTCTGAGTGTTAAAGGCTATAAGACATCTCGCTACGATTAAATGGACCCGAGCAGCGAGAAAAACCGCGCGAGATTAGCTAGTCATAGATAAATTTAGAACCAGGTTTACACATCTCAGTGGATGGATGGATTGATACATAGCTAGATAGATGTGATGTGTGTTGTACAGCTCAAGTTCATTCCTTAGTACCTATCTACCTACGTACAATAGTATTCGTTTTCATGGAGCCGGGTTGATTTTTACGTATTAGTAAGTATATTGTCTTATCATGGAGTCGTTTCCATTCATGATAGGTGAAATAATCAGTTGGTTAATATTATAAGGCTTATAATTAAAAAAATAACAGTAGGCTAGTTTTGACTAACGAGAGCGAGCCTACTATTATAATTTCATTCAGCCTATGCTACCTTCTTTCTTAGCCTCGTGCGCCAAACCAGGTTGAAACTGACCAAAGGGTTTTTCCTTATAATATACAGTGAACCTCGCAAATTTCAGACTTACAATCTTTCGCGTTTCCATTTATGATAGGTGAAATAATCAGTTGGTTAATATTATAAGGCTTATAATTAAAAAAATAACAGTGCTTAGTTCAGCTCAGTGCTAAAGTTGTGCTAGGTACTTAAAAAGATGAACTAAATATTGAAATCGTATGTCGTGTAATCGCTAATAACGCTTTATTCAGTTAAAAAGCAAATCACAGACTACAGCATTGTAAGATTATATTTTTTCAGCTAATAAAACTCAAACAAAATAAAGCGTAAAAAACATTTGCTTTTAAAATTTCAGGCATGTTTACCTCGTTGCTAAGGCGCCTTTCGTTAAGTGAAATTTTTATAAAACAAAAATATCTTCGTTCAGTAGCTTATCTCTGTCGACGTTGACGACAACACAATCTTTACAAGGTATAGTTGGAAACAACTGTAAATGAATTTTACCACGAAATACCTATGCCGTTCAATAAACAGAATCCATAACAAAATATTTTGTTAGAAATTGCAATAAAGGGAGCGAATGGTCATTTTGTGCTGCTATACAGAGGTATTTAATTAATTAACCGTGCTTCGTTGAAAGCTTTTCATTACAATATGGATGGAATGAAATACACGAGTGCCTTTACATTTGTGAAAATATTATCTGTTTTACAATTGATACGAGCTACAGGCAAATGGAGTACGTTTACTAATGTAATTACGAAATAATTTGATTAATTTATTTCATTTCATATGTATGTACATTTGTGATAGCTTTCATTCTAGGATATTTGCTGTTTTAATTCAAGTGGGTACTTGTGTAGCATTTAATTATATTATTGTTGGTTGTGTTCATTTAAGTAGGTTGGATTTGTTTATTCAGGAATTTTATACCGAATGTTACTTGCAAGAGTGAAATAATTTGCGACAGTTATTAAAATGGCGCACACCGCCATATCGGAGTTAGAGGTGACAACATAATTATAATAATAGGGAGAAACGTTTGCGTTCAAATTGAAGATTAACACTTAGAACGCCATGTCGGACAATGCTGTCCGACGCTAGCGGAGGATTAGCCTTCAACAGCTTTTGTCGGCAGTCAAATGTTTAATCTTTGACTAATTTATAGTAATCTGTGGTAATAATCGGCTGCATTATGTACACTTACACTGAATCACACGTATGTCACATGATATCAAGATTCCTTTTAAAATAAATATATTCTAATTTTGAAATACCAAATTTAAATTTAGAATTTTCATGCAGCCGTTCTTTTAATGGGGATAAATCATAAACAATCTTTCGACGCAATCCGTGCATCAGACCGTTCCATAATCATTTGGACTAACGCAGTTCGTTAGTATATACATATATATATATAGATATTTAAACCATTTCATTTCAATGGTTTTTAATCTGTGTTAATAATAAATTGCAACTGTTTGCTTTAAACTTTAATATAATCTACACGTATTACATTAATTTCATTCCACTGT